TTTCCTCGTCAGCCCTGGGCCGAGCCAAGAGGGCCTTCCTGCCGGGCACAACCCGCCGCCCTACTCGCAGTTCCTGTCGCGAGAGGAAACGAGATCCCGCTCTTCCACTTCAACACGCCCGCGCCGCGCCGGCACACGCGCAGCGCCGAGGAGAACTCGGCGGCCGACCCGCTGGTCGTGCTGAAGCCCGTGCCGCGCCTGACGCCCCCGCCCGCCTCCTGCTCCCGGGAGCTGAGCAGCGCCGAGGACAACAGCGTGGCGGCCCACGACCCGCTCGGGGTGCTGCGGAGCAGCAACAGGGTGAACTCGCACGCGCCGCCCCCAGGTCCACCTAGGACCCGCCAAGGAATGCTTCTCGTACCTTTCAGAAACGCACGCAGCCTTTAAGGCAGCGGTTCTCAACCTGTGGGTCGAACGACCCTTTCACAGGGGTCGCCTAAGACCATCGGAAAACACATATATAATTACACATTGTTTTTGTGATTAATCACTATGCTTTAATTATGTTCAATTTGTAACAATGAAAGTGGGGGTCACCACAACATAAGGAACTGTATTAAAGGGTCGGGGCATTAGGAAGGTTGAGAACCACTGCAAGGGACAGCCCCCTGTACTCGCCAAGGAAGGGGAGGTGGGGTGATGATGTGTGCAATTAGCCGCTTCTCTCCATTTCCTTCCCTAGGAAAGCCCCTGAGAACCTGCCTTCGAGGCCTGGGAAAAGGGGTTTCGCTGCCTTCCTCGACCCACCTAAACCACCTTTCTGAATTCAGCCCCATAGGTAAAATCAAAATTTCCGCTTCACCGCGGAGAGAAAGGATTTTTCCCTTCTCTTGTTTCCCTTCCATATAGACGCCTCTCTTCTTAATCAGTTTAGCGCTAAAATCAAAGCTACAATTTAGTGAGCTCACGGCTCTGCAGGTGAAGGAAGAGTCAATGCCTGCAGTCTTCTCCTCTGTCCCTTGCATTTGTTACCTTGGCCCCGTTGGCATTCGAATTTGTAACCTTGACCCAGGCAGGGCAGTAACAGCCGAACTGGGCAAACGAATGGGAACCCTAATCTCAAGTCTTTGTTCTTCCTTGAGCATCTCTGGAGAACAGCTGTCAAAAAGATGGGAGGAAGCCGGTCAGAACCTCACCAGAATGCTCAGAGAACTGAGGCAGAAATCAAGCTAGAAAACTCCAGCTGCCCGGGGCCGGGCGCCCCTGGCCATGCTCTCTAAGCAGCCAGAGCCAGAGGGCCGAGAAGCACCCTGCTCCGCTCCCAGGCACAGCCTGGTCTCTGGCCCTGTCTTTGGCTCTGGTGAACTGGGCCTGAGGAAGAGCCCTGGTACCAGCTCTGGAAAATCTAGCCTGCTAGGATTTGTTTTTCAAAATGGAAATAAATTCAAACTCGCCTAAGAGGCATTTCACCAAGCCTCTACTTCCAGGTCCAGGGGCAATTCATTCTGGATGGATTATAAAAATGTCACTGGGGAGGGGTCCTGCGACAATGGGGCTGCCCTGGGCTAGGTTCTCTGTATTCTGGTAAATTCTGCCCTCTGAGTGAAGTGGCATCAAGGACTTGGGGGAAGGGAAGTCCAATAGCCAGGGCACCTCAGTGAAGGAGTTAGGAAAAGACCACACTGCCAGCTCTTCATTCGATCTCTACCACCCCACAGCAGTGGCTGGTTAAAACACTCCCAGGCTGACAAGTCTGGGTCTTAAGCCACTTGGGAAATGGGGGGGGGGGGCATTAAATGAAGACAGCTTTCAGGCCAAGGAGCCCCAATACTACCATGGGGAAAACCAAATCTCACAGCCGAGGAGCACCAGACAGTGGGACGGCTGCTCAGTCCTCACTCTAGCCTTACCCCGCGATGTAGGATCTTCCTACAGCGGGGCCCCATTTTCCTACCTCTATTTAAATGGCTCCCCCAAAGAGCAGAATATTAACAAGCAGACTTAAACAACAGCTTCTTCCCAGCCACCCCTTCCCCCCACTGCTATCATGTACCCAACCTTAAAAACATCCGTTCTTTTTACTTATGAGAGAAACATTGGACAACTGTTTTTGCCTAATGGTTTTAAGCTAAACTTGAAAAAATAGTTCCTTTTATGAAGCACCAAAACTATAATACTATGTAGCAGTGCATGGCAAATATTCTCTTTATATAGTTTTCATTTTCTGTTGGAGATATTATACTGTATAAAAACTATTGGAAGCTCCCCAATACTGATGGAAAATTCCCAAAGGACTTTAGTAGAAAACTGGTTATAATCTCACAAACTCAATAGCATCTATTAGGGGGGTTTCTCTTTGGCAGTGCCAAGGTAACCCCCACAATTTCCTATGTCTTGAAGCATGTGGCAATATTTATTTATTTATTTGGAAGACTTTGCCTATCGCTTTGTATTTATAGATATTTATAAGTATGTAACCCCACCATTTTCCTTTCTTCTGTTTAAAAGAAAAATAAAATTCATCTAAGCTTCTATTAGCTTTTCCTGTGTTACTACATAAAAGCATGTCACAATATGAGAATAAAAGGGATTATGGGAGAGGAGCTTTGGGGGAATCCAGAGAAGACAAAGTTGTAAAAGAATACCAGAAATTTTCTAAAATTTTATTGAATTTATTGGGGTTACATTGGTTAATAAATTTATGTAGATTTCAGATGCACACTTCTATAATACATCATCTGAATATTGTATTGAGTTCAGAGAATATGGGAACTCTTACTACTAAAAAAAAAAAGTCTATTAAAAATATATAGAAGGAACCAAGATGGCAGTGTAGATAAACACGGTACTCACCACCTCCCACAACCACATCAAAATTATAACTAAAATACAGAACCGTCATTCAGAACTGCCTGAAGTCTTACTGAATGGAAGTCCTACAACTAGAGAATTAAAGAAGAAAGCCCATTGAGACTGGTAGGAGTGTTGGAGGCGCAGGACAGACTGGTCTGAAACCTACATGTGGTGTTTCTAATTGGGAAGGGTATCTTGGCTGCGGAGGCCTCCCTCACCAGACCCCCTCAGCCAACGATCCCAGATCTGGGAAGAGAAGTCCCCTTAACTTCAGTCTATACAAACCAGCTGGGATTGTGGCTGAGTGACACAGAGGCTGCCAGAGTCCCAGCAGTTCCTCTTAAAGGGCCGGCATATGCACTTACTCAGACTCATTCCCTCTGAGCTCCAGAACTGAGACAGCGGCTTGGGGGCATCCAGAGACATATAGGGAGAAACTGGATTGTCTGGCATCGGGGCAAGAACTTAGGGGAGGCTTTCTCCCAGATAGAGGTGCTCACAGGGTTCATTGTTCCTATGCTGAGACCTCCCCCATCATAGAACTGACTCGCAGATGCCATATCTGAGGCTTTCACTCCACCCTAGAGATTCCCTAAGACTCCACCTCACCCAATTTGCAGATCCACCCAAGGTGTTTGCAGCACCTTTTCCATATGAATAGTCTGTCCTGGCTCAGGCCTCAGGCTTTCCTAAAATCTCTCAAACAAGCTGCAGCTGGAGTCCGCATGCCCCAAACCTGTCAATAAGAGGTCCAAGACCCGACACTAGCACCAGCCTGCCTTGCTTAACAGTTTGGCCTCACCTGGGCACTTCCAAGCCCAATACAAGTAGCAGTCATCTGCAGATCACTCTGTAGCTCCTGCCAGGTGGCCCCAAGCAGTGCCTGACTTTGCACCTTCCAGGAGGCCCCAAAGCCAGTGCACCAGGTGGACAGCTTCAGACCATACCAGATTACAACCCTACACATCCACTGCAACACACTCAAAGGGCAGACTCAGTGAGCACCAAAGCTGCACTGAAGCAAGTCCTGCTCCATAGGGGTGTCTCTTGCACAGCAGCTCTTCCACTGTAATTGCAGCTGGTCCTCATAGACAATTGGCCTGGAGGTCAATTCTTCCTAGTAACACAAACAGCAATCAAGGCTCAACTACAATAAGACTGCACACAGGGGTGCACCAAGAGTACCAGGCTCAGGTGATTGTGGAGGCTGAGCCACTGGGCCTTACAGGACACCTACTACACAAGACCACACTACCAATTCCAGGAGACATAACTAATACATAGAAATAAACACAGGGAAGCAGCCAAAATGCAGAGACAAAGAAACATGTCACAAATGAAAGAACAGAGGAAATCTCCAGAAAAAGTACTAAATGAAATGGAATCAAATAAACTACTAGATACAGAGTTCAAAACAATGGTTATAAGGATGCTCAAGGATCTTAATGAAAGCTTCAAGGGACTTAGTGAGAACATCAAAGACATGAAAAAGGACCAGTCAGAAATTAAGCATATACTAACTGAAATAAAGAGTAATTTACATGCCCTAGCTGGTTTGGTATAGTGGATAGAGCATCGGCCTGCAGACTGAAGAGTCCCAGGTCCGATTCCAGTCAAGAGCACATGCCCGGGTTGTGGGCTTGATACCCAGTAGTGGGTGTGCAGGAGACAGCCGATTAATGATTCTTTCTAATCATTGATGTTTCTACCTCTCTATCCCTTTCCCTTCCTCTCTGACATCAATAAAATATATTTTTTTAGAAATGAATAATTTACATGAATTCAACAGTAGCCTAGAGGTTGCTGAGAATCAAATCAGTGATTTGGAATATAAGGAAGTAAAAAACACCCAATCATAAGAGCAAAAAGAAAAATAACCCAAAAATATGAAGAGAGTATAAGGAGCCCCTGAGACTTCAAGTGTACCAATATTTGCATCATGGAGGTGTCAGAAGAAGAGAGAGTGTAAGATACTGAAAACCTATTTGAAGAAATGACAGAAAACTTCCCCTACCTGGTGAAAGAAATAAGATTTACAAGTTCAGGAAGCATAGAGAATTCCAAACAAGAGAAACCCAAGGAGGCCTACACGAAGACATATCATAATTAAAATGCCAAATGTTAAAGAGAGAATCTTAAAATCAGCAAGAAAAAAGCAGTTAGTTATCTACAAGGGAGTGCCTATAAGACAGTTAACTTATTTCTCAACAGAAACTTTTCAGGCCAGAAGGGAATGGCAAGAAACATTCAAAGTGATGAGTAACAAGGACCTACAACCAAGATTACTTTATCCAGCAAAGCTCTCATTTAAATATATTTTTTATTGATTTCAGAGAGGAAGGCATCCAGAGCGAGAGATAGAAATACCAATGATGAGAATCATTGATCAGCTACCTCCTGCATGCCCCACACTGGGGATTGAACCCACAACCAGGACATATGCCCTGACTGGAAATCGAACCATCACCTCCTGGCTCATAGGTCAACACTCAACCACTTAGCCACACCAGTCAGCAAGCAAAGCTCTCATTTAGAATTAAAGGTCAGATAAAGAGCTACACAGAGAAGAAAAAGCTAAAGGAGTTCATCACCAT